GAGTATGCACGCGACAGCTCCGATGGGGCCTTCCGCAGCAGTCCCAGAATCGCAACAGGGTCCAGCACCGTTGATGCGTCATCCCGAGGTTCAGGGAGAGATCAGTCCTCTCCCGGCAGTGCGGGACGAGGGTTCTGTCTGTGCACTGCATCCACTCACGTCTGCCGGAGCGGCAGTCTCAGTTGTAGCGACCTCGGATGTGGGACAACCACTGGCAGCGGCGGAGCAAGAAAGTATGCTCCCACCTCGCAGTGTTCAACCGCGGCCACCGCCTGCATTGATGGAGGGGAGTCAGGGGACCGTTGTTGTGTGTCAAGGCGACGATCTCCCGGAACGTGATATCTCACACACTCCCGCAGCCGAGCAGAGCGCCGCAGACCATGTTGGCCTCGCATGCCCCACCGGCAGTCTTCCGGGTACCGGCGAGTTACTGACCATGGACTCTACGCTCGTTTCTCTACCGGACTTGTCGACGTTGATATCCCCAGGTCTACCCCATGTGTCACCGCCCAAGCCACAACAACATGTTGTCATGGAGCGTGGATCGGACGGGTTTGACGTGGCAGGAGGCGATATCGCCGATATGATTACGAGCCCAATGGTGTCTGCCACGCCCACAATTTTTSGTGTTGGCAAACTACGCGAGGTGGCCCTTGGTTTGGCGGAGACGGCGACGCGACACCGCCGCGACGGTCAGCGCAGCATCGCACAACGCAGTCTTTCTCATTCGTTTGACGGTGCAGAGGAAGGGTCTCCTGGTGGGCCAGTTGACACACTCGAAAGAGAAGCAAGACCCCCAAGTCCACCGTCAAACTCAGAGCATCATCCGATTGTTGCGGATGTCGGCGCAGATGCGGGCATTCCCGTCACAAACAGTGGCGCGGACGCGACAGAACAGCTTGTGGTTGGGTCATCGGCGACAGCACGGCGCGACAGAGCCACTGTTTTGCCGACAGTGGCATTCTATGCCAGCGGGAAGAGTATTGGGGGGATGGATGAGCAGGGAGTCCGGAATGTTGGCAGGCCATCTGCACCGTCTATGGGGAAACGATCCATTGGGAGTGTGGATGGTGCTGGGCACACCGCCATGGCAGAGTTTGAGGACCGACACGGGAGTGCTTTGCCGACGAAGACGTCTGATGTCCATGCTACGAGAGCCGCAAAGGCGAGTCTTTCTCGGGCAAGGAAGAAGGCCTCCACAAGGAAGGCGTCACGTTCATCCTCACATATGTGTTCTCGAGAGAGAGGATCGGGCGTTGTGCATCTCGAGGACGGAGAGATTGCACCTGACGGTGACGCATTGGATGTTGGAGGGAGGGATGCAACGACGGCGGATATCGTCGGCAGGGAGGGCACAGGGAATGCAGTGGTAGGTCAGAAGAGACGCGGCAGTGTACTTATCGTCCACGACGACAGCACAAATGTCGCCCCGGGAGAGACCACAGRCACTGATGATGCAGGGGACTCCGATTACGTACCCAAACCACGGGCGGCAGATGGAGATGATGGAGGAGGGCGACGAGTGAGACCGAGGACACGACTTGGGCCGCAAGGGCAGCGAGCACAGGGCACACCATCGGTGATGATTCCTTCCCCCATAGATCGACGAGCTCAGGCGCAGCGGTTGCTGCGCAAAATGGAGGCCACTCTTCAACAGACGCACGGGTTATCGCTTGGCCGCAAAGAGACGGAGACTCAGAGACAAGGAGAGAGAGAGAGAGAGAGAGAGAGAGAGAGAGAGAG